AAGGGCAGGAAGGCAGTCCAGGTCTGTGGGAGTGGTCTGTAGAACTTAGAAGGTCTGCTCAGTCAGCAGTTCTCACTCTAAGAACCGGGAAGACGCTTGGGACAGGTGAGAGGTGCTCTGCAAGGTGAAAACTATTTTTATAACAGTACTCAAACGTTATTCACCTATTCCATTCCCATTCTCTCACAAGTGTATAGTGGAGTTTTTCAGAGGCAAAATGATGTGTGATGATGTGAATGAAATGTGTCCATTTGGAAGATGTGCATACCTCAGTGAACTGGTCTAATTTTCCAGGTGATCCGTGCCTGGTGTGACAAAATCCTGCATGGTAAAAAGTCTGTCCTAAGTGCAAGATAAACCAATGAATTTTAATATAAAAGATTACAAAGAGTCCATTGGTATGTTTCAGATTCTAAATTGCTCTATCCTTTAAGAAACTATCACTTGTCAAGTATCAGTGTAATATGAAATAATTTCCACAATTAGCTCAAAATGAAGACCCCATTTTTTTCCCTGTACTTCAAATAACATATCATAGCAAATTGAATTTAGAGACACATTTGAGAATTTTATTGTTTTCTGTTAAGCCAGACATGAAAAACATTTGCAGAAATGTAAATTAGTATCATTCTTCTCACTAACTTTTCTGTTTTGAAGGATGTTGTCATTTTACCATAAAGATATGCCAATTTTTTTTGTAACATGCAGTGGACATAATTATTATGTATACTAAATGAATTATTATAAATATAAATGGGCCAAAATGCACACTCTCTTCCCTCTTAGAGATTTACAATACATAGTAATACATCAACAGCCCTCAAAAGTATTTCCCAAATTTATTTCAACCTTTTAAATCCTCTTATTTTTGGCATAATTTAATGTTCCACAGTGGACTATAGCATCCCATGGAACACACTGGCTAATATATGACATATGTTACTCTCTCCCTATTATTCAAAAATAAAAAGCAAGATTTAGCAGGTACTTTTCTTCAAATCCATGCTTTATTAAGAGGATGGCCCATAAAAGTTTACCAGCTAACATAACTCTCTTTTTAAAAAGAAAAACCACTCATATTTCATCCTATTATACTATTTTGCTTATAGTCTTCAAAGCTGTTTCTACTTATGTTTCCAAACTCATATGTTTTAAAAACCCTGTTTTGGATATTTCTGTGTGTTAATTAGTAGCATCTGCTCCTGTGTCATAAAACAAAGTGATCCCGTCCCACACTGATTGCCCAAATTGCAGGTTAAGTCCTGGCAGCCTAGCGGTGCAGCTATTACTACTGTTTGGTATTTTTAAATGGCAAAAAATACCGTTCATGATGCATCTCATGGTTTTATAAAACACAGTCGCTTTTTGTAACAGAAGGATTTACAAATGGCAGTGGATTTTGTTGTATTTTAATGATATTTTCTTTCCAGTCCTTTGGTTTCCATTGGTTGTGGGCACAATGCTAACAGTTAAAGTAATAGTATTCCACAGAATGAAGAGTATGCTCCTGACTGATACATGCTGGGCTTTCCCCTCCTACAAAATAGGGTGATAGAACAACCAGCAAGTTCCTTTCTGACAAAAATGCCATTCTAAATCTGTCTCAAGGTAGAAGTGCGGAGATCATTTCTTTCGCTTTCTGTGCTACATGTGTCTGTCAGGCAAAGAGTGGGAAAGTCTTGATTTGTTATAAGAATTAAAGGGACAATAGCCATTGTACTGTGTATAGTTCAAGAGCTTTTTTATGTTTTGGCCTTGCCAGTTCCTACTTAAAAACTTAATATTGTTTAAATCCTTAGTGACTTTCTATTGCAACTTTGTTGCTGCTTCTGCTTATAACTGTTCAGAAAATTATCACAGAAATGCTTATAAAATTTTCCCTTATCACTTAAAAAATTCAAGGAGAAATTTCTGTGGCTGTCTTCTTCAGTATCTTGTTTTTTTAAAAACCACTGAGTAATTTTAGGGAGAACTCTTTACATGTGCCAAAGGACACTCAGCCTTGTAGGAATACCTATTGGAGCATTTGCAGACTGCACTGGAGATTCTTTCAGAGTTAAATTAGCCAGATTAACCAGCCTGAAATTAAAGAACCAGGCTTTTACTCTTCACACAGCAAGAGACCACCTTCCCATCTTTTTTTTAAAAAAATATATTTTGTATTGATTTCAGAGAGGAAGGGAGTGGGAGAGAGAAATAGAAACACAATGACTAGAGAGAATCATTGATTGGCTGCCTCCTGCATGCCCCACGCTGGGGATTGAACCCACAACCCAAGCATGTGCCCTTGACCCAGAATCGAACTGTGACCTCCTGGTTCATAGGTCGACGCTAAAACACTGGAGCCATGCCGGCCAGGCTCCTTTCCAACTTTTTTGACAACTGAATATAGATGGTGGTATTTTTGGGAAATCAAAAATGGAAGAATTGTAGAGCTCTGTGGCTGGTTAAGAAGTGGGGAGAAGATGCACATGGACCATTGTTCGGATAAACTAGTGAAGGGAGCACTTTCTGCAGCAAAAGCTTGTTTATACAGCGACTTTCAGTGTTCAGACTCTCAGTCTCTGTGATGCTCCAGGCCCCCGATTACATTTCTTTTCTCCTCTCTAGACGTTTGGTCTTATCTCTATTTATAACTTTATCTGGCAAACAGGAATGGGAGGGCAAAGGAGAGGAAAGGCAAGCAGTTTGTTTGGTTGGTGATTAGCAGACTACTGAAAAGTTTGCTGAAGAAGGGAAGTGTATTAAACCTCTGCTTAAAATGAGGTGTGCAGAATTTTCAGTGGCTTTCTTTGGATAAAAATCGTCTCATTCTTGTGGGACTATGTGTAATTGAGGGTCAGCTATAAATCACAAAATAAATCACTTCCAACTCCTTCACCTCGACAGGGATAAGAATGGAAAATCTTGTCACTGAGATGGTCCTTTTTTTCCCCTTTCTCCTCTACAAATAGTATAAGCCTCTGGGCATCAGACTTTGGCAGCCAGTGGAGGGCCCTGAGCTAATAATGGAGCTGTTCTGCTTCTCCAAGTTAGATTTTGCTCTACTTGGTGACAAGAATATAATCCCAAAATGAATTTCTTTCTTTAGGGCAAAAACAAAACAGAAAAGGAGAGAGAGAGAGAGTTTTCGATAACCATGAAAAAGTGTTGTGCTTCTGGTAAACTTTTACAACCAACACCACATTCCATTCTGTTCAACAACATTATGTCCAGTAAGAGTCAATGGGCATGAGCGATTAAACCCAGAGTCTACTCAAGGCACAAGTTAACTTGCTGTGTGACTTTAAGAGGTCCATCAACCTCTCTGGGCCAGCAGCTTTATTTGCAGAAGAATTTTGAACTAGATGACAAAGACCCTTCCTTAGAATACCAAGATACAGACCTGGTAACATACAGGAGAAAGGCAACAATTTATTTTTAGTAAAACAAGATTGATAGCAGCCAGCAACTGTCAGTGGGCTTGCTTTAAATCCTCCTCTTCTCTCCAAATTCTGTTTTTACCAAAACTGTAACTAAAGACAGTTTTTCATGCTTTGAACTTCCTGGCTTATGTTGATTCGTATCAATATGTTACTTTTACACTTTTGAGTGGGAGCTGATTACATTTCATAGAAAGTGCTCAGAAAAGGAATACAATCGTTACAACCTCACATTTAGTGAGAATTGATAGAATCGAGACAAGAAAAAAAGACTGTCCTTGTCAGGCAGTCGCTCCTCCAGCTAGACTGAAAATATAATGGTCTTATTCTCCACTCACTTGTTTAAACATTAACCAAGAGCAGCTTTCTCCTCCTCCTCCAAAGTTTTTAGTGTCTCCATGAACTTAACCACAGTTATATACAACCCCCCAAAGTCCTTTTCAAACATGTCGCGTATTCTGTAAAGCAGTAGCTTCAGCAGTCTTTCAAGGAACTGATTTTGCATACAGCAGCCTAGAGAGGCATAAAAGTATACCAGCTCTACAGCTAGGTTGTTTGATGGCGAGGTCTTGGTGATTGCCTCGGGACCTCTGGAAATGCATAGAGTAGACTTATGGTAGGAAGCAATCAGGTAGTTAGAGAACTGGGGGACAGCCAACGGACTTTCAGAATAGCTGAGGAAGAGCTCACCAAAGGCTGAAAAAGGATGCAAACATCTTTTGAAGACCGTTTCCAAGAGCTCAAATGGTCATTGTCAAAAAACAAACGTGGGGTGGATTTGACTAAGCATCTGGAGCTAGAACAATGCCCTGTGACAAGTGAGCGTTTTTAAAACTCTCAGGCAGAAGTGAACTTTTCAGAGCGACCTTGTCACACACAGTTCGAAGGCGTAGGCTTTGCCAGCTGCTCTGAGTGGGGTGAAGAGGCATGCATATTTTAACCGTTCATTTCATATTCAGTGTGTTAAGTAAATGCTGCTTTCCAACTTGGGTGGAGAAGGTCTTTATCAAGATTTATCAAGAGTCAGAATGAAAACACTAATTTCTTGTTTGCAATGGAACATTTCTTCTCTTTTATACTTTGTTTTGTTCAATCCCATTAGCCCTTTATTGAAAAATATTCATAGTAGTTCACTCAGTCTGAGTTTAATGGGCAGAATCAGGTGGATTTTAATTTGAAACAAAACTCTCTCCACTTTCTACTCTTGAGAAACTGCATTTCAGTATCTTTAATTATTTAAACATAAGGAATCCTTCTTTATTCACTTATTTCAATTAGTAAACTTGAAATTTGCAGGCACATTCCCATTGGTGAATATTATAATTTCCAGTACCTACCCAGAGAGTGGGAGTCTGCTTTGGTTCTTCTTTTCTGCACCCCGCCCCCCCCCCCCCCCCAGTATTTTAGGTACCATATGTAGATCAGTTGCACGATAGCTTCATTCTGGTAATTAATATGCTTGTTTGAGGTTATAAAATATACATATGACAAAAGCCAGGGATTTCCCCCTGAATATCAACTGACTGCTTCAAGTGGCATTCTCATTCTGAGTTGGTGTTTTGTTTTGTCTTACTGCAGCATATTGGAGCAAAATGAGAGAATTTATTTTGAGACCTCCAAATTAGTGCTGCTACGGACCATGAGCAAGAGAGAAAGCGTGGACTTCAGCCTGCACGAATGGTCTTGAAACACAAGTGGTTTTGGGTAAGTCATCCGAAAGACTTGGCCTTAAATTTCATCAGTCACCATTTATTTGGTGTCTCAAGACATCTTATTCAAGTGCATGGCTATTTCTCTACAGCCCAAGCCACAGGATGTTTGTGAAAGCTTTGTTCTATTGAAGGAAAGTGATGAAATTTACTTAGTTGTGTTTGTTTCTCCCATGTGCAGAATAATAGGATCTGAGTAGAATGCATTTGTCATTAGAAAAAGATGGGAGGGAGGGAGGGAGGAAGGGGGGGAGGGAGGGAAAGAGAGAAAGAGAGAGAGAGAGAGAGAGAGAGAGAAGTCCAAACAACTAAACACAAACACACCAAACTACATTTCCAGATACTTCATTTTAGCTGAGAGCATAAGGCAGTGGTTCCCAATGTGGGGCACATGCCCCATGGGGTGGGGGGGAGTAATTTGATTTTTAAGGGGGGCAATTCGAGAATGAGTTATTAACAGTGAATTTTTTTTTCATTTCTTATGGTTCTAGGGACCTCATATACAGTATATAAATATATATATGTATATATATATATATATATAGTGACATATTTGTGCATTTCAGTTCTCTATTATATGTTTTGAAACTTTATTTGCTATTTTTTCATATCACTTCATATTATTTTTTTAACAATTTCTTAGTGATTTCTTCTTCAATACTTCAACTGTCCTTTCGTTCTTTTATTTTTCTCTTTCATGGATGCCATGTTCTTTGGAAGCTTGTTTAGACCAAATTAATGGCCTTTTAGGTGTCCTCCACGTGAATAGGAGTTCACTTTTTGAATAATAAGAATTATATGTCACAGGGGGAGCATCGGGTCTTTAGAGATGCTTAGGTGGGGCGTGGCCAAAAAAGGTTGGGAAGCACTGGCATAAGGTATTCATCATACAAGAGACCTCAGATTCAATTTGATAGCCAGTTTGTGACCCTGTAATGAAGTGTTGGGATGGGCAAAGATGAGAAGCATTGGGAGTTTCCAAGTCCTGTTCAAGAAATGTTTATGAGCACCTTTTAACTAAACATGGTACCCTGAATGACAGTCTTGGTTTGGAGTGAAGTTTAAACACTCTGAACTATAAATAAACAATTTCAAACCACATACCAAAATAATGTGGACTTCCAAGAAAGCTTTGTCAGCCTAGCTCATTGTATTTTTTGGAAACGGAGTCCCTAGGTGGAAGCCCAGTTCTGCCCACCAATTTTGGTGACCTCGGACAACTTACTCATCCTCTTGGAGTGAGTCACCTTAAAAACAGGAGGACATGCCTCCGGGATCACCACAGTCTTATGCAAATTTAAAATTCAACAGCACCCCCCCCCAGTGAAGTTAGTTAAATGATTATACTGCTTGATTGATATTAGCTCAACAGAATTCACTGTGTACCCCTAGTGCCGTGGTCGGCAAATCGCGGCTCGAGAGCCACATGCGGCTCTTTGGCCCCTTCAGTCTGGCTCTTCCACAAGATACCACATGCGGGCGTGCACGTACAGTGCGATTAAAACTTCGTGGCCCATGCGCAGACATTAGTATTTTGTGGAAGAGCCGGTATTTTGTGGAAGAGCCATACTGAAGGGGGCCAAAGAGCCGCATGTGGCTCGCGAGCCACGGTTTGCCGAGCCACGGTTTGCCGACCACTGCCCTCGTGGGTCCTCTCTGCAGAGGGGCTCTAAGGTCAACCCATGTGGAGGAAAGGGTCAGGGGCGGGGCCCCCCTGCCTTTGGCTCCGATCGTGTGAGCCAGCCCTTTGGTCAAGCAGGCCTTGCACGGACTGTGGTTAATAATTTCTTCCTTGCAGCACAGTGTTAAATGAATATAATATTTGAATACGTGAGATAGGCTCGTGTTGAATGATTGTCCCTTCTGGTTGGGGATCTGTTTCCTTCTGTGTTTGCTCTCACCGTGTATGGGTTACATGCCAGTCCTTGCACCTCGTAGAGCCCCAACCCTTGTTTTACATTGATGGCTCAGTTGTCACTTGTTAGCAAGTGGCTGGCTGCCTCAGGGCGGCACATTATTTGGGTTTCATAGCAGCATTTTTTTCCTCTTACATACGTTAAATTATGAAGTGCAGGAAACCACATGAATGCGACAGAATAAAATGCAAACTGTGTCATCTGGAAATGCCAGTTTTATGATTCTCCTGGTGACACTGTCCTCCCTGCAATCAACATCGGAAGCTTCTCTACCTGTTCAGCAGTGTCTTCTATCCCAGGCTAGCTTCATTTAGGCCGCAGTGTAGCCACCGTGGCAGGCTGAATCAGAAGGTTTGCTTAAGATGATTGCATGGGGCTGTCCCTCTCTGAGTTCTGCCTGACCACTAAGCCCGACTCTTGTTCACAGAGTCTTTCCTGAATGCTCACAGCTTCACTGTCCACCCTTCGCTGTGAACTCCTAGAGCATGGAGAGCTCGAATCGTAAAAGAATGTGTGGCTCTGCCTTGCTTTTGGGTGGTTGTTGTCACTCCATCCGGTTGCAGACTGCTTGAGGGCAGGAGTCAGGTCATAGCCCAGTGTTTCTCCAAAGCAGTCCAGCTCCAGGGCCTCCGATAGAATCACCTGGCTGTGTGTATTAAAGTTGCAGATTCAGCAGCACCAGGCTTGAGGAGTCAGAATTGCTGGAGATATTGAGCCCAAGAAACTCACCGCGGATATCTCTCCTGCACACTGAGGTTTGCTAACGGCTGAGTCTGCTTCTTCACCCTCTGCTTTGCTTTCTCACCCACAGCATTGGGCCCAGGTCTCAGCTCATCGTAGCTGCCCAGGAAATATTTGCTTGTTGATCTGAGCATCATCAAACCGTGATGGTTGCATTCACTTTTTCATGGCCTCGCCTTTCAGGATGTGGAGTCAGCATATTCTCTGAACCCTTAAACCCCCCAGTTTATCTAAATGTGTAGTGTTCCCCCCAGGTCCACGGCTCTTTTATGTCCCTTTCTCTTCAACCTCTGACCCTGGCTGTCCTTAGTAATAGTGTTACGCCCTGCCTGCGGCAATATAGCAGGAAAAGCAGATCCAGGGAGTTCATCTGGAGTGAGGGGGTAGCAGAGACCTGAGGATGATGGTGCTGTGGTACCCAGAAGCCTTATCCTTGGCTCCCAAAGCTACACTTGCTGCCCTTGGCAGGTTATTTTGAATGAGATTTCTTTCAGCTGTTAGGGCTCGCCAGTGGTAAGTTTTGGTGGCCAGAGAGCAATCCCATTGCTGAAAGGGATAAAGTTAAGCTGCAGTGGACACACATTAAAGCGCCCACGGTGGCAGCGGCCGATTTAGGATTCAAATCGATGTTAGCAGACGGCAGGGGTGTCTCTTGGCCCCAGCAAGGGCAAGCCTGGCCTTGATGATGCTAAATAGATTTGCAGAGTGTCCTTGCTCTGAATGCCCTTGCTGGTGGCTGCAGCCCTCGTAGTAGATATGACAGTTCGAGTGGAAAACCAAACAGCAGAACTCAGAAGCCCAGCCAGCCTATAAAGGAACAAGGGGTAATCTGGAAATTTATTAGCTGTTAAGGTAACCACAACCCAGTGCATTCAACCATGTTCTGCAACTTTTCTTTGGCTCTTGCCACTTCATAGTTTTCCTCAGAGAGGTCGTGCGGATCCTGAACTGAGTGTGTGTTAAAAGGCGCACTCATGCACAGTGACTGGAAAGCATCCTCTTCTGGGTCTGCACCGAGTTTTGACGATGGGAGGCAGCAGAAAGGTGTAACCCAGTGGATCTGGAACCGGCTTTTTCTCATGTTCTCAGCGACGGGAAGGAAAAACAGCAGGTTCCCAAAGCAGTGTTAAAGGCAAAAGAGGCTTTTTAATATGTGCTTTATGGAGACCTGGCTAGATTTTCCTCTGCACAGCTTCCTCCCGCTGGGTGGTGGGGAGAGGGCCGCTTTTGTGACGCAGGAGGCGGATGCACAGTCTGTGGGCTATGGAAGGGAGATGTACAGTTGTTGATGTATGTGTCTTTGAGCCTTTGTTGGAGGCTTCCAGGTAGAGGAGTAACGAGGAACAAAATTAAAGAAGTGATAAAGCACATGATTTTAGCAGAATACCAGATGCTGGCTGGAATTGCTGTTTGGAGGCCTTTATCCACGCATGGGATATTTCCTTAGCAGTAGCCGTCTGCGCTTGGCAAAGAGAAGAATTGGTTCTAAAAGAGCATTTGCCTGGTGAGAAACTCTGTCACTTGTCCTGCTGACCATGACACCCCCTGGAGCACTGCAGGATTGCCAATGGTCACCTAAACCCGGGGAGCTGCTTTCGCAAGGAAGGCACAAGTAATTAAAGAGCCAGGCCCGTGTCTTCCCTGAAGACCATCATTAGAAAGCTCTTTAATGCTTTCCAGCTTAGGGGAGTCAGATACCCATCACGTACCTGAGCCTGCGTTCCGTAGGGCATACCCAGCATACGCCTTCTGTGAAATGTGCCATAACTCACTCTTCTTGCTGATGCTATCACGAGCTAATTGCATCAGTCCTTCAGCGGAGCCCTGTGGTTTGGTATAACTGTGAGTAAAACCACACCGGTTCAGGAAATGCAGTGCATTGTCTTATAAGAGGCATCATCAAAACAGATGTTGATTTACTTGGAAGATACCTTTCCTTGGTGACAGTTTGAGAGCTTTGAAGGGAGATGTTTGATGTGCATCAAAATAAGTTAGAATTAAACTGCCACGCTGGCACACTGTTGGAGTGAAAACTGAAAGAAACTCGCCAGTGTTTGCTCCCAAACACGCTCTCCCCTAAGGCATCATCATGCCATGACATCATTGTCAACTCTGCTCTGCAGACGATCATGGCTCTCTCTTTCTCTTCTGAGTTAAGATCATTGGTTTCCAACTTCCTCCAGATGCCTTCAATTGGATGTCATATAGGTGCCTCCAACGTGAGGCTAAACCTACACTGTCCCTTTCCCGGTTCCTTGTTTAGAGAGACAAGATCAGCCAGTCATTGGTGCTGTACACTAACTTCTCTTCCTGTGTAGTTCATCCCTTGACCACATGC